GGAGCCTTTGGGTACCTGGGGGGGCGCTGCCCTGGCGCCCACCGCGGGCAAGGTTGCTGGAACGCTGGCTGGCGCGGCGGGAGTTGGCGCGGCGGCAACGGCGGGGCTGGCCCCAGCAGGGCAGCGAGGACGCGGCCGTGCAGGACGTCCGGTCCGCCAACAACATGAACGACGCCACGCAGCCCGCACTTTACGCTGCGCTCAGGCAGCCCCGCAAGCAGCCGCAATCCGGCTTCCGCGTCCAGGCGCAGTGCAAAAAAAAACTCTCCCGCAGGAGGAGGGTTATTTTTTTAAGCAGCCTCAATGTCTCGCGCCAGCTGGTCAAAGCTGGGCGGAGGCAGGCTCCGGCGTGACTGCCCGGAACTGGAGCTCGCGCGAGGGCAGGGCCACGGGGTTCAGGGCTCCAGGAGAAGGGGCGCGGCGTGTTGCTGTTATTCTTCCAGGCTCTATGACGGAATTCTACCAAAGGTGGATGAGTCCTTATTGCAAAAGCCGAACCCCCCCTTTTTGTAACACAAACGTCCAACGGACATGTCTGTCCGTAGCCATTTTGGCTCAAGGGCTGAGGTGGTGGGTTCCCCCCCTTTTTGGAAAGCCCAATATTTGTCTGAGTGTTTGGGAGCCGCCCCTGCTGCCAGAGAATATTGACTTGATCGATTTAGAGAGTCAAGCAGGCGGAGCAGAGACAGTACATGATGAAGAGCCAAAATGTCCTGGAGGTGCAGAAGGTGATGCGCTGGAGACTGCAACGGATGCGGATGACTCTGGCGAAGCCAGACCTACTGGTTTTAGCGCAAGGCCCATTTTATTCAGACAGGATTTATCTACAGGTGTTGGGAGCGATGCATTTTTCGCCGCGGCTGGCTCATGGGAAAGTTGCGAGGCCCACCTTGCCCTGGGAGCGTGGGATCATGAAGGAGATCTTTGGACCACCTCCAAGGGTATTGGGCGGCGACAATGTTCAGATCGAAATGGTTAGCAGCTTTGGTAATGCAATTGAGCCAGGGAGCAACGTTGGCAACCCTGTCGATGTCGAGGCGGACGAGGCATTTTATGTTGGCCTGGTCGGTAGACGTAAGCGACTCGTCGAAGGAGTCGTTGAGCCTCAGAAGGACAAGATCCTCAGGAAGTGGCGTGGGCTTTTGCTTACAAACCCGGAGGGCAGTGCAACAGGGGAAGCGTTGGTTGAATGTGACGGTGACGCTGAACAGGTACAGTTGCTGAACGAAGTTTTTGGAGGGAAGAGTTGCAGTACACTTTCCAAAAGATGCAACTGTTTGCTCAAGTACATGCAATTTTGCGAAGATACATCAACAGGTGATGATGCTTCCCGGTTGCGCCTAACACTGTACATGGGTATTTGCAGAAACTGCACCGTGAACAGAAGTTTTCTGGCATTCGCGAATTGATGCAGACGCTCACCTTCGCGAAACATGTGCTTGGTCTGTTCTTTTCTGGTGACCTTGAGCAACCTCGGATCTCGGGAATCTTGCGGGACAGCCACATACAAGAACACACTGAAGCAGAGCAGACCTTTGACCGTTGCTGAGATTTTTGCATTGGAACGGTTTGTCATGGATGAGAAGCAACATTGTGTTGACAGGTTTGGGGCCGGCGCCATGCTTTTCCTGTTATACAGCCGGGGCCGCGTCTCTGACATCCGGAACATCGAGCACAGCATTCTTGATAGGCCGGGTGGTGATGTCCGTCATTGGGTATACCTTTGATCCTGCTGGCCCCCATTTATGGGTTGTGTGATGCAAGCTGGTGTATGGCATACTTGTCAGTGGCAAAGAACCTGGGCGTCGACCTTGAGGAAGGACATAGGGGCCCCGTGCTGGCTTTGCCGGACGTGACGGGGACGTTGACAGACAAGGCGGCCGGGCCCTCGGATGTGACGAAGTGGATGCATGGGATCCTCAGGAAGCGAGGCATTGATGTTAAACCTGGTTTGACTTCACATGGTTTGAAAGCCACGTTGTTGAGCTGGGCTAGCAAAGCAGGCATGAGTGAAGAGGACAGACACATACCTGGTCATCATGCGATGTCTGGCAAGAAGAGCATGACGGTTTACAGCAGGGATCTGCAGACTGCCCCAACGAGAAGGCTGGAAGGCGTCATTGCTTCGGTCAGGAGGGGAACCTTCATTCCTGATGCTAGCAGGAGTGGGATGTTTAGCGAAGAGGCACCTGTGAGTGGAGCAGCTGCAGTGGGCGTCCAGGCGATTCGTGTGCCTGACATGGAGGAGATATGTGATGGCGGAGAAGAAGTAGATGCTGGTGGCAGTGGATCTAGCGGATCCTCAAGCGACTCATCAGCCAGCGCCTCAAGTGAGTCTGAATCTGTGCTTGACAATTTCATTGATGAGCGTGTGCAGCCAGAGACGCGCGATGCTTGTAAGTTGGGCATTGTGTGGAAAGAAGGCTGTGATGTTTTCATGAACAAAAGGACGAAGGTGATGCACCTCCTTCTGGAAGGGAGCGAAAAGCTGACCTTCCTGTGCGGAATGATGATACAGAAGCCTTCACTGGCTCCATCTACAGTGACGGATGGAAATGCAAACAATGTGATGCCAACAAGCCTTTGAGGGATGTTGGCGCTGTTGCCAGTTTCATGGCCAAAAGAGCCATGAAGCGTGTGTCCGATGGGGCATAAACAGGGCGAGTGTGGTACGCTGGAGATCACACGCTTGGGGTTCGCGGAAATCCCACGTCCTTGGCATGAAGTCAGCACGCCTGATCCATGTGGATCAAGACGGCGTGATGTGGGCCATGGAGCCACACAGATGTGACAGCATGACAACGTGCGTGTGACTGTGTTGAAGCTGATTTGTTTGGAGTGCGCACTTTGGTAGCTCTTGGTGCCATGGCCTCGTTGCTCGATAGCCCTGCAGTTTTCGACGAGAAGGCCCGAGAGGCCGGACTCGCTGATGAGAGCGTGGCTCGCATCAAGGCCCAAGGAGTCACAACACTGGGACAATTGGCTTTTGCAATCTGCCAACCGGGAGAAACGCCCACCACTGATCAGTTGGCTGACTTAGTCCGAGATGGCGCCGCAGCGCCACCACTGGGAGTGATCGCAGGAGCAAGGCGTTTGGTCTTCATGGCTCAGACCTTGGCTGTGGCAGATGTGAAGCAGATGGTGGAAGGTGGTGCTGAGACCAACGCAGGGAAGCAGATGCCTGCGGCGGAGCGGGTCGCCCGGATTGCCAGGCAGAAGGCGCGTCTGTCGGGAATTTCAATGTCGGGTGAGAACGAGTGCGCGCACAGCAGTTATGATTTGATTCTGGACATGCTTGAGCGTTGTGGTTCAGTTGCCACCGTCCAAGTTCCCGAGTCGACGTAGCGAGCTCAGCAACGAAAAGGTAGTGAAAGAAGTGACGCTGGACTCGTCGTCACGCCTGCAACCCAAGGACCAGAAAACCGAGGTGATGTGTGACACTGGGAGCGAACTATTGCTCACACAGGCGTTACAGCGGCGAGCCTTAGCATTGGACTTGACCAACGCTGCAACTTACGCGACTGTTCAAGAATACAATGACTATTTGATCAGGCAGTTACAGGCGACGGTCCCTGGCGGGTACAAGCGTGTGGATGTGCAACAGGTACTCCGCGCTGATCAAGAAGCATTCAACCGCATGAGTGAGTTGCTGACTGAGGGACTACGCAAGCCGGATGGGTCCTTGCCCATGGACGAGGCTTTCAGACGACTTTTGACAGATGCGAAGGTGGCTTTTACCTTGCTGCCTTTACCTGCGAGGCCTGTGGCGACAGGTGATGATCATGGGAGTGGCTTGAAGAGGAAGCGTACAGAGGACTGGCAGCAGCAACATTCTGGGAAGTCCAAGGGAAAGAGCAAGCACAAGTCCAAGTCCAAGGGGAGCAGAGTGCCGCAAGAGCTCATCGGCAAAATCACGGTGACGAAGCAGGGCAAGCCGGTGTGTTTCAATTTCAATCTACCTGGAGGATGTCCAAGCGGCCTCAAAGCCGGACAGTCCTGCGCCAGCGGGCTGCATGTTTGTGCAGAACCTGGATGTGGTTTGGGCCACAGCATGCAGGATCACGGGAAGAGCAGCAGCTGACTCACGCCAGGTGATGAATTCGATGCTTTCTTGCAGCGAGCCAAGCACAGGGCTGCAGGCAAGCATTTGCATGAGATTTGCTTCATGGAAGTTTTTTGCGGTTCTGGGCGCCTGACTGCGAGTGTGCGGAAGCTAGGAGTAGTGGAAGCCATAGGCATTGACCACATCCTGTCGAAGCGGTTGCAGGCCCCTGCCATCAAGCTAGACCTGAATTCACGCGAGGTTTTGATGAACATGATGGAGAGCGATTCTGTCATGTGGATTCACTTTGCCCCTCCATGCGGAACTGCATCAAGGGCCAGGAATATCCGTCGCGGACCTCATGATCCTCCCCCGGCTCGCTCTGAGGGATGGCCGGATGGCCTGCCAAACCTCAGTGGAACGTTGCAAAGCAGAGTTTCACTGGCGAGCCTAACATCTGAACTTTCAAAGAAAGCGTATGAGACGGGCATTTTCACCAGTGTTGAAAATCCTTGGCGGTCGTTCATGTGGGACACTTCGCACTGGATGGATGCTGCAAGACATGTCCCATATTTTGATGTCTGTTTCGACCGCTGCATGTACAATGGGCTGCGCGACAAGAGGACGCGCTTGAAGCACACGATGCCGTTGCTACAGAATTTGGAGAATTTTTGCGACAATTCGCATGAACATAGCAGTTGGGGACGCACCTCACAAGGCTGGTCCACTGCGGAGGAGACTGCTTATCCTTGGCAGTTGTGCTCTCACATGGCCTTTTGGTTTGCTAAACAGCTTGAGCAGTTTGGGGTATCCAGCATGCCGCGTGACCTGGAAGATTTCGTGTCTTTTCAGCATAACCAATTGGCCAACATCGCCACCAGCAGCCAACCACGAGGCAAGAAAATCCCCCCGCTGGTCGCGGAATTTAAAGAAGTTTTGGAAATGACTGTGCCTCGCGATGATGCTCCTCCCCCTCGCATTAAAACCCCATGGAAGATACCGGCACGAGCAGTCAAGCCAGATGGCATCGATACACTGCCTGCGGGTTGTCGAGTACTCCGCACGCTGCATTTGCCAAGGGGGGAGGCAGCGAGCGAGCAACTGGATAAGAATGGTTGCGATTGGATGAAGTGCATTGTGGGGGTGCCCTGGTCTCCTGAGGAGTTCATCGAGAAGGCGCGCAAGTGCCTTCACCCTAAGCTGCTGACCTCAGGTCTGCCACCAGAATTGGACCAGGTGATCAACAAGAACGCCAGTGTATGTGGGGAATGTATGGAGGCAGAAGACAAACTGAAGAATGAAATGTCTGCCCCCCGCCGCAACATCCTGAAATCAAAGAGATTGTGCCTTTTTGAGAGGCTGCTGGGAGACGTCGGTCATGAAGATGTGAACATTGCACGGGAAATGGGAGAAGGTTTCAAGTTGCTGGGACCGGTGCCGAAGTCCAACTTTTTCCAGAGAAAGAGAAGATACGCCACAATGGCGGTGAGCGAACTGAAAAGGCTGGCGCCCCTAACGAGGAGGGGCATCTACAACAGCACTGTGAGCTGTGGTGACCCGGAGATCGACGAGGCCGTTTACACTGTCACGGAAAATGAACTGGCCAAGGGCTGGCTCAGCGGGCCCCATGATTTCGAGGATCTGCCAGAGACAGCTTCGCTGACTAGGCGCTTTGGCGTCAAACAAGGAGGTGGTAAGGTGCGGCCTATAGACAACTTCACCGAGCCCCTGCTGAATTTGACGAGCTCGGCCGATGAGACGGTCACGCTGCACGGTGCCCCGGTCCTGGGCGCCATGTTTGCCAGGTGGCTGGAGGTGACTGAACGCATGGGCATTGCAGACAAGGGGCTGAGGATCAAAACGGTGGACCTGTCGGGTGCTTACAAGCAGCTGTGTCTGGCCGATGAGGCGCTACAGGATGGATTCATTTGTGTCTATGATCCTGTGAGGCAACGCCCTGCAATCTTTGGACAGGTGGTGCTCCCGTTTGGTTCCGTGCCGAGCGTTCATGGTTTTTGCCGCGTGTCGTCTGGCCTCTGGAAGCTGTGTGTGGTGGGCCTGAGCATCATTGCTAGCGTGTATTTTGACGACTTCGTTTTCTTGAGCAGGGACGCCGCGACAGAGCACACCTCTGCGATACTGGAGATGTTTTTCAGGCTGACAGGCTGGGCAACCAACTTGGACAAGGCCGTGGAGTTTGGGCTGGATGCGAAGGTGCTGGGCCTGCAAGTTGATTTAAGCGGGTTGTCCTCAGGACTGGCCAAACTGGGAAATACTGAGTCCAGGCGACATGAACTGGATGAGACAATTAGCGAGGTGCTGAAGCAAAAGAACCTCGGCGTACACGAGGGCCAGAGGCTACGGGGACGCTTATTGTTTGCGGAAAGCCAGGTCTTCGGGCGACGGGCCACTGTTGCCATGGGAATATTGAACCACCACATACATGTGGTTCAAGGCGGACGCATATCAGGGGACCTGGTTTGGGCTTTGGAAATGCTTCGTGACAAAGTTGTGCGTGGCCGGCCCAGGGAAATTACACATCGCATGTCCAGAGCGGCGCATTTGTATGTGGATGCTTGTCATGAAGAGAGCAGTGAGATGCCAGCTGGCCTGGGGGGCATCCTGGTATTCCCTGAATCCAACAAGAGGAGATTTTTTAGCAAGATGATGGATGCCACGGATGTGGCGCTTTGGAATCTGACTGAGAGCGAGAAGCCTATTTATGAACTGGAAATGCTTGCAATTGTTTCGGCTGTGGATCTCTGGGCTGATCATGTTTCTGGCATGGGTGTTTTGATTTTTTCCGACAATGAGGGTGCTGTCGGCACCTGCATCAAATGCATAAGCGAGAATGCAGTTGGAAACCACCTCTTGCAAAACTTGTGCGAGTTGGAGGAACGCTATGGATGCAACTTTTGGTTTGAGCGAGTTAATACTGCGTCAAACCTGGCAGATGAGCCCTCAAGGGGCAGTGACCAAGATGTCTCACTTGGAATGTGTGATGAGTTGAACCTGCGGTCGTTGTGGGAGAAGTTTGGCATGCATGAGATACGAAGGGGGAAGAGAAAGCATGCCAAAGATGCTGATGGCTATGAGCCATCTTTGGGCGATGTGCCCTGAACATGATGTGACGGCATGTGGCCTTTCCCCTTTTTATGATCTGACTCCCCATCGACGCAGAAAAGAAAAGAGTGTCACCACGTGCTGTGTCTTTTGTATGGCTTAGAGGGCTTCGCCCATGTTTGCCACGCTGGATGGTCTATGGTGCGCGCGCGTGTGTGATGGGTGTACACGCGCGCGCTTCAGGGTTTGGCTCAAGCAATAAGACGGAATTCTACCAAAGGTGGATGAGTCCTTATTGCAAAAGCCGAACCCCCCCTTTTTGTAACATGACATGTGTTTTGTGTTACGTGTTTTGTGCAAACGTCCAACGGACATGTCTGAACGTTTGCATGTGTGCTGCAGGGCTGAGGTGGGTGGGTTCCCCCCCTTTTTGGAAAGCCCAATGCGGTTTTTTGCCCACCCTGCCCACCCTGGGGAAGCCAAAGATGCTGATGGCTATGAGCCATCTTTGGGCGATGTGCCCTGATGAACATGATGTGACGGCATGTGGCCTTTCCCCTTTTTATGATCTGAATTTTCATTGACGCAGAAAAGAAAAGAGTGTCACCACGTGCTGTGTCTTTTGTATGGCTTAGAGGGCTTCGCCCATGTTTGCCACGCTGGATGGTCTATGGTGCGCGCGCGTGTGTGATGGGTGTACACGCGCGCGCTTCAGGGTTTGGCTCAAGCAATAAATCAATATAGACCCTAGAAGAATAGCTCGTTTTGCACGGTTTTGCACGGCTTTGCGCTGCAAAAAAATGTTATTAGCCCGTGCCTACGTAAATGTAGGACTAATAGCTCGTTTTGCACGGTTTTGCGCTGAAAATCTATTCTTCTCGTCCGTATATAGATATACGGACTACAAGAAAAGTGTTTTTGCGTTGAAAAAAGTTATTACTCTCGTCCGTATCTCCATATACGGACGAGAGTAATGGCTTTTGCACGGTTTTGCGCTGCAAAATGCTAGTCCAGGCCGTACATACATGTACACCCTGGACTAATAGCTTTTGCACGGTTTTGCGCTGAAAAAATGCTATTAGTCCAGGGCCTACGCAAATGTAGGCCCTGGACTAATAGCTCGTTTTGCACGGTTCTGGGCTACAAAATGCTATTAGTCCAGTGCCTACGTAAATGTAGGCACTGGACTAATAGCATTTTTGCACGGTTTTGCGCTGCAAAATGCTATTCCTCCAAATGTAGGCCCTGGAGTAATAGCTTTTTTGCACGGTTTTGTGCCACAAAAACAGTGCTTACATCAATGTAGGCACTGGAAGAATAGTTGTCCTTCGCCGTACGAGTCAAAATGCGTGTGTATAAACAAGCATGGAGGTAGTCACCGCCGGAGCCCAGGATGAGCTGATGCAGAGCCTGGACTACAAGCTGAAGACGAGCAACACCAGCTACGTGACGGCGCGGCATGACGTGCAGTACTTCCCCAGCTCGCTGAGCTCCTTCTCCCCCACAACCTCTAGGGTCTGCCGCATCCCGCTGACCAGCGGCACGTCCTTCATCGACCCCGAGTCCATCAAGATCGCCTTCCGCGTCAGGAACACGGACGGCACCAACCCGCTGGCCCCGGCCACGCCCAACCCCGCCTGCTTCGTCCAGCGCGTCCAGGTCTTCGCCAACGGCCAGCGCTGCGACGACATCAACTACTACGGCCGCACCGTGGCCGTGCACGACCTGCTGAAGGGCCGAGAGTACAACCGCAACAAGGCCATGGAGGGTTTCGACGAAGTGAACGACCCGCGCATCGCCCGCGCGGTGCACCAGGGCGGCTACGCGGACGTGCTGCTGCGCCCCACCATGGTGGGCATCCTGCGCTGCGGGAAGATGCTGCCGCCGCAGCTGAACCTGGTGATAGAAATTGAGTTTGCGGACGCCACCACTGCGCTGTGGTCCGAGAACGCCGGGGCGCACCCGGCGGGGGCCACGCTGAGCACCGACTTTGAGATCCAGAACGTCCGAGTTCTGGCCTCCCAGGTCGTCCTGGACTCTGCGCTGGTAGAGTCCTTCAACCGCGCGCTCCTCTCAGGAAGGTCCCTGGTGTTCAGCTACCCACGGTGCACACGCAGCAGTCCAGCGTCCCGAGAGCACAACGTCACCGTGGCGCGCGCCTTCACGAAACTCATGCGCGTTTGTGACTTTTTGGGACAACGACGCGGGCTCCAAGATCCACTTGCTGGCCAACCCGGGGCAGGACGTGGCCCCCATCGGCGCGGCCAGGCAGGAGGACAGGCTCCTGGAGTCGCAGATGCAGCTGGGCAGCCTGCAGTACCCTCACAACCCCATGAAGGGAGCCTCGGAGCACTTCCACTTCCTCTCGGTCCTCGCGGGGACCTACGACGACACGGTGCGCAACATCGACATCGGCCGCGTGGGCTACCTGCGCCACAGCTTCGTTGCCGGCTTTCCCACCGAGCGCGTGCCCAAGATGCCGCTGAGCGGTGTCAGCACCCGCTCGGGCGACCTTGCCCGGTTCACCTTCAAGGGCCTGGACGGCACGATGACGGACCTGTTCATCCGCCTGGTGGCCTACCAGCTGGTGACGCTCTCCGGCACGGGCGTTTCTGTGCTGGACTAAAAAAAAAGCCCGCTGCCCTTCAACTTCGTTTTTGAAGTTGAGTGGCAGCGCCAAAAAAACAGCAAAAACACGGGAAATGGACTTGTTCCAGGCCCCTTAGAGGAAGCCACCTAGTCCGGAATGCTCAGCCGCTCCGCAAATCTTGTCGCACAGCGCAGCAGAACGCTGTAGAGCAGCTCGCGTGGCTGCTGGCTGACCCTCTCGTACTGCCCCTCCATCAGCCGGGGCCCCCGCTGCGCGGCCCGGAGGCGGCCTGCACAGGCCTCGCCTTGGCCTCCAGCGCATGTTGGTCCACGGCCGCGTCTGCTTCCTGTACGGAGTTGTGTACTTGCAGTAGGTCACGTCCACCCAGGGCAGGCGCTCCATGAACGGCCGGGTCTTCAGCAGCCCGGTGGCCGGGTTCTCTATGACCCACATGAGCGGGTCAAAGTGCGCAATGATCTCAAGGGCGCTGAGCACCAGCGCGTCGCCCTCCAGGAGCCGCCGCGGGCGCGTCGTCAGCGCGCAGCTGTATTCCGTGCAGACGGGGCTGGCCCAAACCATGTCGAAGTGCCCCGGCGGAAACGTCGTGTAGTCCCAGCTCCGGATGTCGCACAGGATGGTGGGCTCAAATTTCGACACGATGTCCAGGGAGACGACCTCCCAGCCCGCCGCCTCGAAGGCCCTGCCCACCGACTTGGTGCCGCAGAAAAGCTCCAGGATTCTCGGCATTTTTAAAGAGCAAGATCACCGCCACTGCGACGACCAAGAAGACTCGCGCCACGAGCTTCTTCTGCCCGTTGCGCAGCAGGATGTAATCGTTGGGCCCCTCGCGGATGAGGGGCTGGTTGTAGTCGAAGTCCTTGCTGGGAGGCCGCAGGCCCAGGTGAGAGTAGTAGTGCTGGCCCGCCCGGTCAGCTGCCCGTCCGCGCGCGAGAGCAGCGCGTAGGCCCCCGGTCCGCGCCGCAGGTTCAGCACGACGGCTCCATCCGCCCCCGTGCGAGCCCGGGCGCCGCCGTCCGCGGCCTCCGTGATCTGCTGTCGTTGTCTCGCCCAACTTGCCATTCTTTTTTTACGGGTCCAGTTTTTTTTGCTCGGCCGCGCGTGCGCGTATGGCCGGGGAGAATAGCTCGTTTTGCATGGTGTTGCGCTGAAAAAATGCTATTACTGCAGCCCGTATATCTATATACGGGCCGGAGTAATAGCTCGTTTTGCACGATTTGTTGCATGGCATGACATTTGCTTGGTTTGATTGTGCTTGGCATGTACCCCCCAAACCCCGAAGTTTTTTGTCAGGCTGTCGTGCGTGGCGATGGCGCTGGGGGAGTCTCCAAGCAGGCGTGTAGGAAGGCTAGGAGTGCCGAGCAGGCGCAGTGCCGGGCAGGCGTACGCCGAACAGACTTTTTTTTCGCCCGCCCAGTCCACCGTTCCAGCCTCGCGATTTCCGTCTTCCTCCGAGAAAGCTCCTCGCCCGTGAGCTCGCGCCCGACACCGTAGTTGCGGCGCGTCCGACCGGCGGCCACTTCGGTTCGCAAATTCGTGAGTCTGCGCAAGAGAGGCGACATGTATTGTTTCGCCATGGCGAAATGAAGGTCGGCTTGCGTTGCTCGCTTTCTGTCACAGCCTTTTAAAGTTTGAGCCTCAGAACGCGCGGCTGAGAACGTCGGGATTTTTGTATGACGGGGCAGTGCCAGTGCTCGGTCAGGAAAGCGGCTCTGCAAAGAAGCGTGCTCTGCCAGGAAGGGAATGGGGGCGAGTCAGCTTCCGGGTTGGGTGTGTTGTCTTCTGCGGGGATTGAGGCGAGTCAGCTTCCGGGGGGGCGAAGGGGGGATGGGGGCGAGTCAGCTTTGGAGTTGGGTGTTGTTGTTGTCTACTTTTGTTTTTTTTGGGGGGGGCGAAGGGGAATGGGGGTGAGTCAGCTTTGGAGTTGGGTGTTGTTGTTGTCTACTTTCTTTTTTTGGGGGGCGGGGGTGAGTCAGCTTCCGGGGGGGCGAAGGGGGGATGGGGGCGAGTCAGCTTTGGAGTTGGGTGTTGTTGTTGTCTACTTTCTTTTTTTGGGGGGCGGGGGCGAGTCAGCTTCCGGGGGGGCGAAGGGGAATGGGGGTGAGTCAGCTTTGGAGTTGGGTGTTGTTGTTGTCTACTTTCGTTTTTTTGGGGGCGGGGGTGAGTCAGCTTCCGGGGGGCGAAGGGGGGATGGGGGCGAGTCAGCTTTGGAGTTGGGTGTTGTTGTTGTCTACTTTCTTCCCCACATCTTTGTGCGGGGTTCTTACTTTTTCCGCTCGTCGTCCGCGCGCCGCGTCTCCTCCTCCTCCTCCTCCTCCCGCTCGTCTCCGTCTCACTCACTCACTCACTCTCACTCACTCAACTCACACTCACTCAACTCACACTCACTCACTCACACTCACTCACTCACACTCAGTCACTCACACTCACTCACACTCACTCACACTCA